ATTAGTATGCAGAATTCTTGATAATTTATGTTTAATTATAAATTATAATCATATTCAATCAGGCAAAGATCATTAAAGTATTATAGCACAAGATGATAATTATATTTGTCATAGTGAAGAACTAAAAAACAAATTTACAGAAATATATTTATTGAAAAATATTGTGTTAAAAGTTCAGACATCAGAAATATACAAAAAAAATAAAAAATGGACAATATTTATACTAAAATATTATAAATAAAGACTGGCTGCAAATACAATATCTCTTTTAACAATCTTAACAGATTCACTGAATTTATTTTCAAGGTCGGTGTTACCAATACTTTTGGATGCTTGGATTAATTGCCTCAATATTTCTTCTAAACGTCTCATTGCTCGTATTATACTTCCTGAAATTCCCAAAATTGTTAAGTATGTCATACTCATGAACATTAGAAAAAGCAACCAGCCAGAGCAAAAAATATTTGGTCCAGAATGTGCATCATCCGACCATAATTATATTGTTTTAAAACATTAAATGTAATGAATTTATTGGTTGTTTATTATTATAATCTAAATCGTAAAACTTATGAATAATTAATATAAAAATGTTTTCTAAACCAAAATGTCATCAATGGAATAATTGTGTTTCYAAGAATTTTCTAAGACTTTTAGATTAAGATCTATAATTGTTTTTAAAAAATACTTTCAAATTTTATATATATACATCAATAACAAAATTTACATATTTTTATTCCTGCGAGCTGTGATAACAAGAGAGCAATATTACATTATTGATATAATACAGTTATATAAAATTCAAAAGTATTTTWAAAAAAAAGCTATATCTCTTTGTTCAGAAATAGATTATTCTTGGAATCATGTGTATTTKATTGAAGACAATTTAGTCAAAAAGAAAATGTTCTGTAGTAGTAATTATTTATACATTTTATCATTTGGATTATAACAATAAAAAAATCGATAAATTACATATGCTTTGTATGTAAAACATCATCCTACTACTGGTATGCATTTTTGGTAGATGCAATAATTCTGAACCACTTTTATATACACATTTCAGCATTTATTTTCTAATGTCCATACTCATATCATAGATAAATGATAGCAATGCTATTTACCTTCAAATATATCAGTCATTTGACATATTTGATAGAATGTAGCGCCTCGACACCACTCGTAACAAACATCCATTAAAAATGGTTTAAAGCCTTCAACATAAGCATCTTCTTCAATATCTAATTTRGCATCTTTACAAACTTTAGCTATTTTTCTTGCAAGTTCCTTAAAAATGATATTTTATCTTGTTATTATAAATGGTTTCATAAAAATTATTATGAGATTCTTTAAATACTGATTTACAACAATATCAATTATACAAATATATTTACAATTATTTATATACCTGCATTTTTCTTAAAGGTCCCGCTAATTCAGCAGTTTTTGCGGGCAATTCGTTACTTTTTTCATCACATACAAAACAACTAAGTAATGCAACAGTCTGAGGCACTGATAAATCATTAAAAACACCATTGAACATTAATTCAGTCATTAATAATTCATCAGCACTTGAAACATAAAAATATAGTTARTTCATAATTTGAAYRCAATTGTTATTTCATCAAATGTAATTTACCTGCTTAATTCACATGCTATTCTCCCTTTAGTTTCTATAACTTCCCCGGCGGTACAATAGCCCATTCGCCTCAATATGCGTTTTCTACATTTGAGATCATCCATTTGCATAAGTGATTTAGCTTTCTTTAATTCAGTTTTAAATTTTAAAAGTTCTCGATCCACCTGTAAAAAACATTAATTTTTTTAATTGTTGAATTAAATAAAATTAATAATTTATTTATATGAAAATTGTTTAGTACTTTGTCTTTTTCCAAATATTGTTTATATAGTTCATCAACATCTTCTTTTTCATGTAACGGATGAGCAAATAATCTACTTTCAAATTTTTCAATTTGATCGATAACTTTATCAAACTCTGGATCTTTAATATGCATGTCATTAA